GTGTGAAATGTTTTTAGTACATGTGGGTGTATATATCATGTGAGTGTATATAAACACGTGTGTGTGTATATAAACATGTGGGTGATATATAAACACGTGTGTGTGTATATATAAACACGTGTGGTGTATAATCATGTGTGTGTGCTTGTATTGGTTTAGTGTGGGTGGCAGGTACCAGATGGAACGACCCTGGTACTCCACAGGTTGTACAATCAGTGGAATTGTCTCTTACACCCCCCCCCACACGACAGTTTACACCTAGTTACCCCATCTCACTCAGTACCCCCCCCCCCACTCACCCCTCTCTCTTCCTCTCACTCAGTACACCCCCCCCCCCCTCACCCCCTCTCTCTTCCTCTCACTCAGTACCCACTCAATAGATGGCAGCATACACACTTCTACTACATATAGTGTCCTTACATGGAAGCTGGGAACCTCTACCACCCTAACCCCCCACCAAACCCCCCCCCCTCTCTCTTACACCCCCTCCCTCCCCCCAAACATAATCTACCCAAAACTTACATTGTTTTGCAAAGATTGAGAGGAAAAGATGATCAAATGTCTCGTACGAACATTATTTTCATTTGTATTTATAAAACTTAAAAAATATTTATATTAAGAAACATAAGGCGGTACAATGGGATCGAACTTGCGTCCCTGGACGCCCCAGGGACATATAGATATCAGGTGTTAGTGATTCCATTGTGGATGGTTTGTTCTGAGAAAAAAATGTAAATATTAAATCTGTTTCCCTTCGTATAACACTATTATGTGGGGCCTGTCACTGCTGTTTCACTTCTCATAGTGATACATTTTCTGGATTGAAGTCGCTTAACCATTTCTCTGATCTCTGTATTGTGCTTTTTGTACAGTTTTTGATATATTGCATTTCCTCCGTTTTGATTCTTTAATGTATTTTTAATCATTAGTGGGTATTGATAATAATTGACAATTCATTGTGTCGGGGACAGGAAGCCAGGTTATATATACACGTTAGGCTTATACCGAGGTCCCTCCCTTATCCCAAGGGTCGAATTACTGCACCCCCCCCCCAGGATGCAACCCCACAACAAGGTGACTAACTCCTGGGTAGCTATTTACTGCTTGGTGGACAGGAGCATGGGGTTGAAAGGAAACGCGCCCAACCATTTCTGTGCCGCCCGGGTACTCGATTGTGAGGCGAGAACGAATCCAACTGTACTACCGGGACCCTCAAAGTTTGATAGTTAATTAAATAAAGATAAAAAAAAAGTTTGAAAGTTATGTGACAATTTAATATATTTTTTTAATTGTTAGGAGAAAGCGCCAAGCCACTACGACTTTATATCTCTTGGTAGGGATCAGGATTAGGATTTGGCATAGGACGGGGGGGGGAGGGGAGGAATGGTGCCCAATCACTTGGAAGGTCGGGGATTGAACACCGACCTGCATGAAGCGAGACCGTCGCTCTACCGTCAAGTCAAAGCTGGCTGGACAAGTTATGGGAAAAGTTGAAAGTTATATGAAAGTTAAATCCTGTCAGATGTTTTAATTATCAACAGAATGGACTCTAGCACCAACACCTGCGGTACTCCTCTCCTTACACCACTCTCATATATCTCCACTCTCACTCTGGACTTTTGTTTCCTTCCTGAGAGGTGCTCTCTCATCTCACTCTTCTGAGGCTATCTTTCTCTGCCTCGTATGGACCAATAGCAGCTGCCTCGTATGGACCAATAGGAGCTGCCTCGTATGGACCAATAGCAGCTGCCTCGTATGGACCAATAGGAGCTGCCTCGTATGGACCAATAGCAGCTGCCTCGTATGGACCAATAGGAGCTGCCTCGTATGGACTAATAGGAGCTGCCTCGTATAGACCAATAGGAGCTGCCTCGTATGGACCAATAGGAGCTGCCTCGTATGGACCAATAGGGAGCTGCCTCGTATAGACCAATAGGAGCTGCCTCGTATAGACCAATAGGACCTGCCTCGTATGGACCAATAGGAGCTGCCTCGTATAGACCAATAGGCCTCTACAATTTCCTTTATTGTTCTGTTCTTATTTTTTAATCATCTGTATCACTATTCCAGAACATTTCTCTCACACTTCATTTTATCTTTCCCTCTCTCTCTCTCTCCCCTCTTTGACCTCATTTTAAGCCCTCATATTTCTGGCTTCCCCTCTGTTAATAAACATTTTTTATCTTAAATTCCTACATTTATAGTAGAAAGATATGCAGGTCTGCCACAACACACTCTCCTCTCCTTCCTATCCCTGGGATAGGAGAGGGATGGGGGGAGTGGGGAACCCGTTGACCCCTTCTAGTCTATCCCACCTAGCCCGTCCTCCTAAGGACCCCCTCAAACGTCAAGAAAACGGTTGATTTAAAGTGTTCTTATCCTAACTTAACTTGAGGTTCCTAAACAGAAAACGGGGAAGTACGTTACTTTAGAGAGCCGATTTCATTTTCTAGTATGGCAATTTTTGGCCTTAGGTAACGACTACGAGCGAATAGCGACGTTATTTTCAAGAGGACAGGTTTGATCACCACCTCCGCCAAACTATTTGGGGAACGATTCACGAAGCAGTTACGCAAGCACTTACGAACGTGTACATCTTCCCTCAATCTTTGACGGCTTTGTTTACATTTATTAAACAGTTTACAAGCATGAAAACTTGCCAATCAACTGTTGTTATTGTTATAAACAGCCTCCTGGTGCTTCGGAGCACATTAACTGTTTAATAATTGTAAACAAAGCCGCCAAATATTGAGAAAAGATGTATAGGTTCGTAAGTGCTTTCGTAACTGCTTCGTGAATCTGGCCCTTGAGGTCCAAACTAGACCCCCCCCCCCTCCCTTAAACATAATTACCTCTATTCCACAGTAAGCAAGACAATCAAAAACTTTGTTTATAGCTTATAAATATGAAAAATTATTAATAATACATTAATCACATAAACAATACAACTAATTCACTCTAGCAATTAAAATATTATCTTAACAAGTTAATAACAAATAATTGTATTAAATTAGAATGTGAATAGTCCAACATAGATGAATAAGTCATTGTAATTGATAACTAAATTGTTTCTTTAAGACTTTTACAAATATTTCAGTAACATAGGAGATTCTTCCTTGCTGTTCCTTATGTATTTTAAGGCTGAATTTATTTAAAGACTAATATATAGGCTTACTTTCTGATGTGATATAGGCCTATAGATAGTATTCACCTCTTGTTCGCTTCTCTGCTTTAAAATCTGATTTTAAAAATATCATTTAATTTGGTATAATATATATAATTTAATATAAATATAATTTAATTTAATATAATTTAATTTGATGTACTGAAGATGATTACTATGTTCAATGATTTTTTTTATTATTCGCTTTATTACTGTTATTGATGCTGATGGTGTTCTTGATATAACATTATTGAGAAAATAAATTTGGAGCACTGTGGGAGATTCGAACCCTCGACCTTGGCATTCCCAAGTCGCGCACCTTACAACCTGACCCACCACAGTGGACAGGTTATGCAGGACTGGGATTCCAATAAATGTACATTTTTTCATTTTAATAGAAATGTTTATAATTTTTTTTTACACTTTAATCTGGATTTTCATCATAATTTATATAAATTTTCATATTTTTAATCGCCATTTTCACTGTATTTTGTAACACGTGGATTGTATTGTATTCCTGGGTGCGTATGATCAGAAATACAGCAAGTGTGTTGTATTTGTTATCATACATATAATGTATATGTATGCCATTTCGTTTAAAATATCGTAGTATACCATATCGTTTAAAATATCGTCGTATGCCATATCATTTAAAATATCGTAGTATACCATATCGTTTAAAATATCGTAGTATACCATATTTAAAATATCGTAGTATACCATATCATTTAAAATATCGTCGTATGCCATATCATTTAAAATATCGTAGTATACCATATCGTTTAAAATATCGTAGTATACCATATCGTTTAAAATATCGTAGTATACCATATCGTTTAAAATATCGTAGTATACCATATCGTTTAAAATATCGTCGTATGCCATATTTAAAATATCGTAGTATACCATATCATTTAAAATATCGTAGTATGCCATATCATTTAAAATATCGTAGTATACCATATCGTTTAAAATATCGTAGTATGCCATATCATTTAAAATATCGTAGTATACCATATCATTTAAAATATCGTCGTATGCCATATCATTTAAAATATCGTAGTATACCATATCGTTTAAAATATCGTCGTATGCCATATCATTTAAAATATCGTAGTATACCATATCGTTTAAAATATCGTAGTATACCATATCGTTTAAAATATCGTAGTATACCATATCATTTAAAATATCGTCGTATACCATATCATTTAAAATATCGTAGTATACCATATCGTTTAAAATATCGTCGTATGCCATATCATTTAAAATATCGTAGTATACCATATCATTTAAAATATCGTAGTATGCCATATCATTTAAAATATCGTAGTATACCATATCATTTAAAATATCGTAGTATGCCATATCATTTAAAATATCGTAGTATACCATATCGTTTAAAATATCGTCGTATGCCATATCATTTAAAATATCGTAGTATACCATATCGTTTAAAATATCGTAGTATACCATATCGTTTAAAATATCGTAGTATGCCATATCATTTAAAATATCGTAGTATACCATATCGTTTAAAATATCGTAGTATACCATATCGTTTAAAATATCGTAGTATACCATATCGTTTAAAATATCGTAGTATGCCATATCGTTTAAAATATCGTAGTATGCCATATCGTTTAAAATATCGTAGTATACCATATCGTTTAAAATATCGTAGTATGCCATATCGTTTAAAATATCGTATATTATTGTAACAATATCATCGTTTGCTGATGAGAGGAGAATGGCATAAGGGGAGTAAGGAGGAAGAGAGAGAGAGAGAGAAAGGGAAGGAATAGGATAGATAGCATGAGAGGTGAGAATATTAGAGAGGAAATGGAAAGGATAGATCCCAAAGTTCGTCCCAGCATCCAGCGCATCTCTGGGGGTACGGGAGAGCAGATCTCACACTACAGGCATCACCAGCATCCTCTCATATAGCGACAGATCACACTCTCATTATTACAAGGTGAGGCTCGAACCCTGGGCTATCTTATTACAAAACACAAAAGACCTATACCCACTCTACCACAACATCAACACGAGACCAGGCAAGCTCTATAGAGCATCAGGGAGATCATTTTTTTTTCCGGGATTCGAACCTGGACTGGTCATAAAATGAAGGCAGAATAACTTCCCACCTTTCCACTGCATCACTATTTTGTTTTCGTAATTGTAATCTGACCTGTGTGTGTGTGTGTGTGTGTGTGTGTGTGTGTGTGTGTGTGTGTGTGTGTGTGTGTGTGTGTGTGTGTGTGTGTGTGTGTGTGTGTGTGTGTGTGTGTGTGTGTGTGTGTGTGTGTGTGTGTGTGTGTGTGTGTGTACGTGTGCGTGCGTGTACAAAATCCTCCTCTATATGTGAATACGAAATTCTCTACAAAATAATGTGAGGTGTTGGGAGCGCGACACTGGCAGAGGGGTTATTGGTTTGACAACAAGAGTGTCCCAGGTTCGATTCCCCTGTGCAGGTTGTAATTGTCAGTACAGGAGTTGGTATGGTGTTTCTCGCCATGCCCTGCACACCTGCGAATATATATATATATATATATATATATATATATATATATATATATATATATATATATATATATATATATATATATATATATATATATATGGTTCACTGGATGGATGCAGATCAACAAGCTATATAAAAGATTGTTCCCACTGCACATCAGTTAGAGAGAGAGAGAGAGAGAGAGAGAGAGAGAGAGAGAGAGAGAGAGAGAGAGAGAGAGAGAGAGAGAGAGAGAGAGAGAGAGAGAGAGAGAGAGAGAGAGAGAGAGACCTACACCTCTTTCGCTGCCTTTCACACTCCTTTTGAGTCACCCTTCATTTGCCATTTTTGCCCAAGGGTTTAGTGAGGGTCGAGGCGAGAGGGAGAGGGAGAGGGAGAGAGAGAGAGGAAATGAGTGAGGGAGATGAGGGAGGGAGGATAGGAAATTGGAACTTCCCTTGCATGTCCTCTCATGTCATGGTCATACTGTGTCATGTTCCTTGTCATGGACATACTGTGTCATGTCTTCTCATGTCATGGTCATACTGTGTCATGTTCCTTGTCATGGACATACTGTGTCATGTCTTCTCATGTCATGGTCATACTGTGTCATGTTCCTTGTCCTGGACATACTGTGTCATGTCTTCTCATGTCATGGTCATACTGTGTCATGTTCCTTGTCATGGACATACTGTGTCATGTCTTCTCATGTCATGGTCAGACTGTGTCATGTTCCTTGTCATGCCATTGGCAGGTTGAATCATTATCTCTGGATTAATGTATTCATTTAAATAGCAAAAATATACATTTCCACGCCATCTGTTGGCGGAAAAAAGAAACACGTCGTTACCAGGCAATTAGAATCAATCACCCGGTCATTAGTTGATGCTGATTGTGTTCTGTGCTACACTAAAAGTCTATTCTCGCGCCATCTGTTGGCGCTGCCTGCAACTTCTTATTCAGCTACTGTGAGGGCTGAGACTAATAATTTCTGTGGGTTTTATTATTCATTTTATTAATGTCTGTTGGTGACAGGAACAGACAAGTGGCGGTTAGAGTTTCCTCCATACTCATTGATGTAGGAGAGGGAAGCTTAACTTTCCTAAATGATGTTGGAGAGTAAAGCCTCACTGATTGATGCATGACTAACAGGCGTAATTCTTCATTGATGTATGCACGCCCCAGTCACTCCATTCATGTATGACAGGCTCCACTCTCCCCCATTGATGTATGACAGATACGCTCCACTCACCCCCATTGATGTATGACAGACACGCCCCACTCACCCCATTGATGTATGACAGGCACGCCCCACTCACCCCCATTCATGTATGACAGATACGCTCCACTCACCCCCATTGATGTATGACAGATACGCTCCACTCACCCCCATTGATGTATGGGAAAAAACCTTTCACTCCATTGATGTATAACAGACAAATCCCACTTTCATCATTATATTCGAACATAAATATTACGATTCAATATTTTAATAGAGGGAGGCTTAGTCTGGGATATGAGGACAAGGAGCTGGGATATAAGGACAAGGAGCTGGGATATGAGGACAAGGAGCTGGGATATGAGGACAAGGAGCTGGGATATGAGGACAAGGAGCTGGGATATGAGGACAAGGAGCTGGGATATGAGGACAAGGAGCTGGGATATGAGGACAAGGGGCTGGGATATGAGGACAAGGAGCTGGGATATGAGGACAAGGAGCTGGGATATGAGGACAAGGAGCTGGGATATGAGGATCAGTAGCTGGGATATGAGGATATGGAGCTAGGATATGAGGACTAGGAGCTGGGATATGAGGACAAGGAGCTGGGATATAAGGACAAGGAGCTGGGATATGAGGATAAGGAACTGGGATATGAGGACAGGAGCTGGGATATGAGGACAAGGAGCTGGGGTATGAGGACAAGGAGCTGGGATATGAGGACAAGGAGCTGGGATATGAGGACAAGGAGCTGGGATATGAGGACAAGGAGCTGGGATATGAGGACAAGGAGGCGGGATATGAGGATAAGTAGCTGGGATATGAGGACAAGGAGCTGGGGTATGAGGACAAGGAGCTGGGATATGAGGACAAGGAGCTGGGATATAAGGACAAGGAGCTGGGATATGAGGACAAGGAGCTGGGATATGAGGACAAGGAGCTGGGATATGAGGACAAGGAGCTGGGATATGAGGACAAGGAGCTGGGATATGAGGACAAGGAGGTGGGATATGAGGACAAGGAGCTGGGATATGAGGACAAGGAGCTGGGATATGAGGACAAGGAGCTGGGATTTGAGGACAAGGAGCTGGGATATGAGGACAAAGAGCTGGGATATGAGGACAAGGAGCATGCAAGGACCCACATGCCAACTTTGACCATCGGGGATCGAACGCCAACCCCGCAAGAAGCGAGAGCTTCACTCTCCCGATAAGTCGAAGTGAATCTAATCGCAACGACACAATTTACGCGGTCGTTCCTGCACTCTGGCTCGGGGTGGGGGGGGGGGGGGGGGGAGGGGTTACACACTCAGAACGTGGCTCCACTAGCTGGCTCGTTCAGTCACTCATGCACTCAGTCATTCACTCATGCACTCTTTCATGCACTCATAATGAAACACGAGGGCGTTTATCTGGTCGTGAGCATCATTAAAGAGATCAGATCAGACGAACTAGAGTACACAGACGCACCAGAGTACACAGGACGCACCAGTGTACACAGACGCACCAGAGTACACAGACGCACCAGAGTACACAGGACGCACCAGTGTACACAGACGCACCAGAGTACACAGACGCACCAGAGTACACAGGACGCACCAGAGTACACAGACGCACCAGAGTACACAGGACGCACCAGTGTACACAGACGCACCAGAGTACACAGGACGCACCAGAGTACACAGGACGCACCAGAGTACACAGGACGCACCAGAGTACACAGACGCACCAGAGTACACAGGACGCACCAGAGTACACAGGACGCACCAGTGTACACAGACGCACAAGAGTACACAGACGCACCAGAGTACACAGGACGCACCAGAGTACACAGGACGCACCATAGTACACAGACGCACCAGAGTACACAGACGCACCATAGTACACAGACGCACCAGAGTACACAGGACGCACCAGAGTACACAGACGCACCAGAGTACACAGGACGCACCAGAGTATACAGGACGCACCAGAGTACACAGACGCACCAGAGTACACAGACGCACCATAGTACACAGACGCACGAGAGTACACAGGACGCACCAGTGTACACAGACGCACCAGAGTACACAGACGCACCAGTGTACACAGACGCACCAGAGTATACAGGACGCACCAGAGTACACAGACGCATCAGTGTACACACACACAGACGCATCAGTGTACACACACAGACGCATCAGTGTACACAGGACGCACCAGAGTACACAGGACGCACCAGAGTACACAGACGCACGAGAGTACACAGACGCACCAGTGTACACAGACGCACCAGAGTACACACACAGATGCACCAGAGTACACAGGACGCACCAGAGTACACACAGACGCACCAGAGTACACAGACGCACCAGAGTACACAGACGCACCAGTGTACACAGACGCACCAGAGTACACAGACGCACCAGTGTACACAGACGCACCAGAGTACACAGACGCACCAGTGTACACAGACGCACCAGAGTACACAGACGCACCAGAGTATACAGACGCACCAGAGTACACAGACGCACCAGTGTACACAGACGCACCAGAGTACACAGACGCACCAGTGTACACAGACGCACCAGAGTACACAGACGCACCAGAGTACACAGACGCACCAGAGTACACAGGACGCACCAGTGTACACAGACGCACCAGAGTATACAGGACGCACCAGAGTACACAGACGCACCAGTGTACACAGACGCACCAGAGTACACAGACGCACCAGTGTACACAGACGCACCAGAGTACACAGACGCACCAGAGTACACAGGACGCACCAGTGTACACAGACGCACCAGAGTATACAGGACGCACCAGAGTACACAGACGCACCAGTGTACACAGACGCACCAGAGTACACAGACGCACCAGTGTACACAGACGCACCAGAGTACACAGACGCACCAGTGTACACAGACGCACCAGAGTACACAGACGCACCAGAGTACACAGACGCACCAGAGTACACAGACGCACCAGA